TCTCACATTAAAATCTAGAATTAATTTAATAAAAGAATCAACTAGAACACGGCTTTAAAAAGAAAAAGAAAAAAAACGAGGAAGAGAGAGAGAGAGAGAGACCAGACGCTTGAGCTTTGGCCGATCGAGATTTGGCCGAAGATCGAACGGCGGTTTTGATACCATTTGTAGCACGTACAAGTCCAGCTCCCATTGAAACGTCACCTGAGCTTAAACCGCTGCAAGTGGAACCACTTCGGATGCAAAGATTGTGATTCGAAGTTAAACTCCGTTGCCTAACTTCACTAAAGCGAGGTAAAACTCTCCGTTTTGGAATCTCTAAGCCTAAATTCCCTTTGACTAAATGTGTTGACGCCTGCATCCTGGATTAGCTGATTCGCAAATAAAATAAATAACCGACCAATCAAAAATAAATAAAAAGAAAATGAAATTAAAATCGATAAATTTAAAACGGAATCACTGGGAAGTGAGAGCGAGACGTACCGAGTCCGAAGGCGGAGCTGAGAAGGTGAAATGATGAGTCAGATCCCGAGTTGTGTTTGGCTAATGAGAACAGCTTCGGAAAATCTGTTGAAATGAGTAACAGTTCGCTCACTAGAAGCTTACAGCAAGAAAGGGCAAACTTGGTGGAGAAATCAATCAATCAATCAATTACTCTCTCTCTCTCTCTCTTTTCTTCAGGAAAACAAAAATGGTAGTAACTAATTCAGTTTTGGTGCGTGAAATTATATTACAATTAAATATTTAAATCATAATAAAGCTTAAATTAGAAGATTTTAAGAATAAATTTTTAAAAATAAAATTATATTTTAAATAATCTATAATGATTATAAGATAATTTTTTATAAACTTCTAAAATCTTAATTATTAATAATATATGTATATTTTATGAATATAATTGTTTAAATTTAAAATCTTGAGAGATAATAATAATTCTTGTAATAATTGAAATGGAATGAAACTTTTTGTTATTTTTAGTTTACTTATCTTCCTAGATATTAAATTTTATTTTAAAAAAATAAGATTCGGATGGAAGAATGAGTAAAAAATTTCAGTATTTATGGGACAAAAAAAATTAAAAATGAAAATGTGGGGAGTGTTTTTGTGTTTGGAATTAGATTTTGGATCAGATTTACATTGCGTATGAGATGGCGTGGATGCACGTGAGATCCGTTTCGTCTACGCCTCTCTCGTCCCATGTTCCCGTTGTTTGTTCACTAAGATGGTGTTTATTTTTTTATAGATAAAACATCTGCAGTCTACGGATCATATCTGTAAGTATATACAGTAGAAAAGGTGGATCAAAAGTCTGCGGTCTGTAAGAATAAGACTGTTTGTTTTTTAACGTCTGCAAACTGCTAAAATGAATTGAAATATAAATAAACTGATTTTTTAAACTTAAAAGAGTTTTGTAATACTGAAATTTAAATAATTTTAGTTTTACAATACTGAAATTTAAATAATCAATATAACTACAATAATAAATTATTTAAAATAAATCAATCCATACAATTACAATAATAAATCAATCCATATTTTAAAATAAATCAATCCATACAAATAAATTATTTAAAATAAATCAATTCATACAACTACAATAATAAATCAATCCATATTTTAAAATAAATCAATCTATACTAATAAATTATTTAAAATAAATCAATCTATAATAATAAATTATTTAAAATAAATCAATCTATACTAATAAATTATTTAAAATAAATCAATCCATACTAATAAATTATTTAAAATAATTTAATCCATATTTTATAATAATTTATTTTAAAATAAATTATTTTATAATAAATTATTTTAAAATAAATAATCTTATTAAATTATTTAAAATTATTTTAATAAATAACCATATTTTATAATTGTTCTTGAAGAGGTTTGAAGACCTTTGAAGACATAAAACCATGTTTGCACCAAGAAGAGCTCGCGCAAACGTTAGAAGAACTTCTGTCTTCTAAAAAACAAACGGTAACATATTAAAAATTTCAAGACTATGTATTCTTTTTACATCTAAAATTTTATTTTTTATTTCATTTATAAATTTAATCCTTCAATTTTTCAATTTAAAAATTTAAGTACAAATGGTAACATATTAAAATTGTTTTATTAAATTTAATGATGTGACATTTTTATATAATTGAAAAATAAAATACTATAGTGGACTTAAATTTAATAAAAAAATTATGATATTTATAACTAGACTTGGAATTTTTAAATCTAGAAAATAGATTAACTAAATTCATGAAGGCAAAAGTACAGAGATTAAAGTTCAAATGTATGAAAATAAAAACTTGAAGCATATTTTAATTCAAAAACCCAAGCAAAATATTTTTAATTTTTCTTTATTAAATAATTTGTTTTAAAATTGTTTATTTTCTAAAATCCAAGATTTTATTTATTAAAACATGTTAGTTTTCAACGAAAATAAAAATAAATAAATAAACTATCTATCTAATCATTTATTTATTATTTATGTACTCTGAATCTCGGGTTAATAGTTTTGGGTTAACTCGAGTGGACTTAAATAAATCCATTAGTCTTGTAGAGAAGCTTGGACCAAGTTAACCTTAGTTGAGCTTGGGTTTGGCCCAACATGTGACAAAATTGGTGTTTTTAAGAGGAGATCAAGACTTGAGTGACCAAAGGAGTAATTATACAATTTAAGAATTAAAAAGTTGAAAATCCTTAATGGCTTGATGATATCACGTTATCTCCTTCTCTTTTTCCTCACTCTCCCTTGTCTTCTTACTTCTCCTTCATCTCTTCATTCTTCCTCTCCAAGAACCAAGCAAAGGTGGTAACTTGATAGCTCAATAATCCTAGCCCGTTTAAGTGAAGATAAGAATCGAAATAAATGTTCCTAGAGCTTTCAGTCAAGCCCTCAACTTCCTTAATTCACCATAGTTTTTCAAATATGGATTTTGTGGGGTTTAACGAACTTAAGAGTTTGATCCGTTTTTAGGAAATTCAAGCCTTTGAAATTGTTCTTAAACTCTCCTTAACCCCTTTAGTCAGTCAATAATACCTTCTTTGATCCTTGTCTAGTGAGAGAAGTTAAAGAAAGCTCAAAGAGCAAGAACAAGGAAAATCTTATACTTTGGTGACCTTGAGGTGTTATTATCAGTAGTTAAATCAAAGGCAACTCACTTCTAACTCAACTCTACCATATGTAACACATTAGATGTGTTTTGGTAGGTTATATGAGTTATGAAGCATGTTCATGGTAGCTACACCTTTTGATGTTTTTCAACATGATAAAAGACCTATTATGACCTCTTTTAATCCTCATAAGACTTTGAAAACATTTGGGGACCTCAATAGGATGTGTTGGGGAGGCATTTTCGTGCCCAAAACAAGGTAATTCCTGGCACAAGTATCGTTACTAGAAGAACAGTATCGACATTATTCTTCAGGTGTTAAAAACAAGTGGTTTATGGGCATAATAGTATAGATACTCATGCAATGGCTATCCATATTGTAGATGTATCGATACTCGCAGGGTGGTATCGACACCGAGTTTACTTAGTCGATTCCAGTAGCCAGTGGTATCGATACTAAGGGTAGAGTATCGTACTCCCAGTAGGGGTATCGATATTGAGGTATTTTTAAAACATTTAACCTAAATTTGATATCGATAATCAGGATAGTATCAATACCCAACACTAGTGTATCGATACTCAGCCAAGAGTATTGATACTATCCTCCCTTATCAGCATAATACAGTCAATCATTATCTCCCTTGTTTGACACTCGAGAAACATTTAAATAGTTAAATGATCTGTTTAATCAAATTGAAACATATGTGGTCAAAAATATTTTTGACCATAATTAAGTGATCACCCGTGTAATTTACCCAAAATATTTTCCATGATCTTATAATAATTTTTTTCAAGTTTGACTACAGATAATGCATATTTGATTATTTTTATTGATCTACTCTTAATTTACACTATTGAGTTAGTTTTTTTTTATATTAATAGGTGTTTATGATCATCTAAATAGATTATGTTTGAGTTAAAATAAAATCAATTATCAATATATCGTAATCACTATATTTATTTCTAAGTTAATGTTGATAATACTTATCTTTTACCATCAACAATGATATCTGTTTGTATATTTTTGAGTTGTTTGATTAAATTTTTTAATCATTTTATTGTTGGATCTTATCATTATTTAATAACTTGTTTAATTTTTTTTGTTGATTTTAAGATAAATGTTTTATTAATATAATTAATATCCTTTGATTGTAAATCTTCTTTATGTTATAATATGATTATATTTTTATTTGTTTAATAAAATCGGTGTCGTTATTTATTTAAAAATACACATTGAATTCAAACAACATGAAATATATTGATTTAAACAAAGCATATACCCGACAGATATTGAATATTAAAATGAGATCAACCATGCATTTAATTTAGGGTAAAATATATAAATGGTCCCTGATTAGAGGACGTTGCTTTGTTGAGTCCTCTGATTAGTAAAAGTTATAAAATAGTTCTCTAACTATAGGATGTTGCTTTATTGAGTCATTTGACTTTTAAAAGTTATAAAATGGTCATCCGACTATTCATATATTCGAAACTCGTTATTTTCTGTTAAAATCCATTGTTTGAATTATATAGTCATTTAAGATTATAAAATCAAATTTTATCATATCTCAGCTGAGATGACTACCATTTTTTAATAAAAAAGAAAGAGTTTAAAATATATAAATAATCGAATAATTATTTTGTAACTTTTAATAGTTAAGGGACTTAATAAAGGAGTTTCTATAAATAAAAGATTATTTTATAATTTTTAATATTTAAAATATGTAACAAAATAATACTTTATAGTACGACCACCGTTTACCCTTTAATTAATTACCTTAACCAAGCAACAATAATAAGAAACCAAGCGAATGATATATGTATAGTTCTGAAACCGAAAATCAAGAAACATTCCAAGATAGGAGTCATGAACAGCAGAGACCTGAAAATCTTGATAAAATGCAGGGACAGAGAAAATTATTGAACAGACACCATGAAAACGCTGGCACCTGTCATTTCCATAAGCTTCTTTTGTCTTTCTTGGCACCAATTTCTCTGCACTTTCTCCTTCCTCTCAAATGGTAATTATCAACAAACTGAAATGCCAATCATTTCCTCTTGCAGTGGCAATTCTTAGCTTTCCCATTGGAGAAGTTCGAACCCAACCCGAACAAATTCAAAGAAGGAACATTGAGAGCCGGGTTAACATGAACACCGCCGATAATATTACCATGAAGCTTATAAGCAGTAGTATTCTTCTTCAATGGAGGCTTGAGATGCTTATGTGAATTGATGTGCTTAGGGTTACTGGAAGGCTGTTTAATACTCGGTGTTGAGCCAGTTGAATTGCTTCTCCACAAAAGTGACAAAGGGCATAAGCTCCGGCCATAACTATTTCCACAGGTGAAGCTTCTACTCCTTTTGAAGTTCCAAAATGACGACTTTGAGCTATGTTTCGTGGAATCAACATTAACATCCTCGGGAGGTGGTGGCGGCAACGGCGGAGGAGGAGGAGGCGGAGACCGGTGATGAGTTTGTTCGGAAGGGACGTTGTTTTTCTTGATGTCAGTAGGAAGGATTTTTCCATCGGAGAAAAGTTCATCGGCGGACGACGGTGGTTGTTGTTGTTGTTCGATGCTTTTGGCGACGCAGAAATCGAAATCGAAATCAATGCTGGAATTCAAGGACGAAGGTTTTGATGATGATCTGAGAGGGCGTTGATTCACAGGCACTTCATCAAATGAGAAAGATAGAGAGAAAATGAAATCCTGGGACTCATACCAGAGTTGTCCGAGGCTCTGAGCCTACTACCATTTTTGTTCGTAGCTTTTTCAAAGTAAAATGAATCTTTCGAAAACAGAAAGTCTGAACAGAAATAGTAAGAAAATTTGTGTTAAACCAATGGGAACCGCATCCAGACAATGACGTGAAAAAAAAGGAAAACGGGAAGAAAATAAGCAAAAAAACAAAGCAGGTCAGGAGGAGACTGAATTGAATGAATCGATTGCGTGGCAGAAGATAAGAGATCAAAATATAGACATTTTGCACCCAAAAAATAGACTTTTTGCACCAAAAAATAGACTCTATTATTTGTTATATTTTATAATTATTATTTGTACTTAAAACTTTGAAGAAGAAGAAGAATATGCTGCTATTCTAACATGGTTAGGGATGGGTACGTGTCGGATTCGAGTTCAATTTCAATTAATCTGATTTGATCTATATATATATATATATATATATATATATATATATATATATTATTTGAAATTTGAATCGATTGAAGTTTATGAGTGACTTTACCTAACTCAAATCATACTTGACGTTTTGATATAAAACTCGAAGAATTTGATTTGATCCGAAATATATATATATATATATATATTATTTTTATTCAACAAAACTAGGGTTATAATTAAAAAATATATATAAATGATTATTATTGTATTTATGCCTAAACAGATAAGGTAAATTTAAATTATATTTTGGGTCAGGTGAGATATTTTTCACTCTACACCTAAACATATCTTCTAAAATACCCGACTTGACCTCAATTCGAAATATTTTTAAGAATTGAGTTGATAGAATCGAATCGGACCCATTAGATTCAGGTTTGTGCCAATCCCTAGACATAGGTATTCATTTTATATGGATCACAATGTTTTAGTTTTTAATAAAATAAACGTTATATAGATTAATGGAGGGTAGTGTAAATTATGGATTGGTGGCTTAGAAGATTTCATATCTCATATTTAATTTTGTGGGTCGTGATGTTTTTGGTAGCAACTACTATTACAATCATGATCAAGGACAAAACTAAAATCAAATATTGAAGGAATATCATTATCGATAACCGGTAAAAGTAAATTATATGAAATAAAATAACTTTACTGTCTAATTATGAAAAATAGTTCAAAAATCAATTTTATCATAATCGTTATAATTGTAAGGGTAAACTACACGGGTGACCATTAAAGTATTGTTCATTTTTATTATGACAATCGACGTTTTGATTTGATCAATCAGATAATCTAACTATTTAAACACTTCATTCAAACCATATACCTCTAATTTTTAACCGAAGTGATGACATGTCAATTAATAAAATTGACATAATTATATATGTGATCCATAATTTTTACACAGTCTATCAATTCAATCATAATTTAATTCAATTAAAATAAATTTAATATTCAATTGAATGGTGACACGTGTCACTACATGATTAGAGAATATTTTCTTAATTTTTTATTTGAATAATCAAATGAATTTTTAATTCAATAGGGTGGTGACATGTATGACCACCCTATTAAAGAGAGAAAAGAAAATAAGGAAAATGCACCAAGATAAGATCAAACCAGGGACATCCCAATGGACAAGGGGACAACTACACTCAGGTAAGCATCCCTTATGATCTCATCGTACAACATTTTTTTTAATATAAATTATTCTACTTAATGGTAGACAAAAAATAAAATGTAAATAAAAATAAAGGATTCGAATATGGAATTAAGATCATAGATGAAAACAATTATAACCACTAATCCAAATAAAGTATTTAAAGAAAAGTTCTAATATATTTTTTGTTAATGTAAAATATATTCTCAATTTTTATTTATTAATTATAATTTAATATTATATATATTAATTATAATTTAATATTATATACCCTTATTAATTATAATTTAATATTATTAAGAATTATTTTTTATTAAATTATATTAAAAATTAATAATTATTTATTCTATTAAATTATAATTTATTATATATTTTTAACTTTTAATATTTATTAAGAATGATTTTTAATAAATTATATTAAGAATTATTTCTTATATTAAATTTTATTATTTTATTAAATTATGATTTTGTAACATCCCAATCATCGGGTCAGTGACCAAAATGTAAGAACTCAAAATTTAGTGATTTAATTAGAATAATTAAAAATTCAAGAACTTAATGTGGAAATTTTTGGTTAGGAATTGATATTAAATTTGTATTAGTGGAATGGCATTATGGTCTTTTCACCTAAAATATTTTTTTATCTTTTCTCTTTTAAGGGATATAACACGTGGAATGATACAAAAAGAAGAGAAAAGTCTGGAGTTGGTTCTTATCTTCTTCATAGTGCCCGTGAACTCCACTTCCAAAGGTAAGTTTTTGTAAGTTGTTGGTTCCATCAATTTTTGGTTTGGTATTGGAAGCTTGTGTGTTATAAAAGCTTAAGGAAAGCTTGCAATGGATTAAAACAACAAGAAGAGTGAATTAGAAATGGATTTGTAAAATGGGTTTTGAAATGAATTTTTGATATGGTGTAGTTTTTGGAGTTCTATGGTTAAATTTGACTTATCAATGGGCTATTGAAGGAGACAGAAAGTTTAGAATGGATTAAGAGTATGATTGAAAACATTGTATGATTTTTAGATGTAAATATTCTAGTGAGATTTTGTATGTTAGGAAGTAATAAATGGAGAAAAGTTGGTTTGAATGAAGGAAGTTTAGTTTAAAGGCATAAAAGGAGATCAAAGTAGGAGATTTAGGTAAGTTTTGGTTAAAATTCGAAATGAAAATGGGAATTCTGGGCATGGGGTATCGGTACTGGAAGAATAGTACCGATACTTCTAGGCAAAATCAGATTGAATTCAAAGAATAATATTGATACTAGTAGAGTAGGGTATCGATACCGACTGGAGAGTATCGATACCATTTTCAAGATAAATTTCTAGAATGTCAAAATGGTATTGGTACCAAAGGGGGTATCGATACCATATAAGGGAAGTATCGGTACTATAGTGGTAGTACCGATACTAGTAAGCATTAAATGAGAAATTAAATGTTTCTTTTAGCTTAAGTTGTTATGATTGGATATAAGTGATTTGAAGTACGATATTGATTTTCAACTGTTATGTGTAGACGTTGAACAAAGTCAACTTTCTGTCAACTCGACGTTATAAGTATCTATCCAAAAGCGTTAAGGTTTCGTTTAGGACTTCATTGAGGCAAAGGTGAGTGCAACTTCTTCGTTTTGTATTAGAATTGAGGAAGGCTTGCGATAAGTCAACCTCAGTGTTTTCGATCGAAAACCTTACAATTTCTTTTATATTATATCTTTACAATGTTTTATTCAATTTCTATTATTTAAGATGTGATTAATGATTATGAGTATATGATTGTGGAAATGTGATATGTGAACATCGGTATACAAAAAATTCTCAATGTGAAAGTGCCTATGTGAATAAGAGATACTTCGAATAATGAATGATAAATAATTATGTGGTTAAAATCCCAAGGTATATGTATGAGGATTAGAGGTATAGTTGGCATGCCAAGAGTCGAGGGTTCTATGTGGTCCTTCGGGACAATTATGTGGCACTTTAGTGTAAACTTATGTGGCACTTTGGTGTAAACTTATGTGGCACTTCGGTGCAAATTACGATATGTGGTGATAGCATTAGTGCACAACCTCAATGTACTCAAATACCTAGAGTTCTCAGTAGTATACGTTGGGCATTTGGAAACAAAACTATATAAAACGAATAATATATATAAGTATACCTTCTTATTATGGAAAATAATTTGGAATTCTTTATGAAATGTTTCGATAAAATAATTAAAGATTTCATCTATAAAGTTAGTACTCTTTAGTTTTGACTCACTAAGTCATCGACTTAGTGAGCGATTTCCTCACGCGTAAGTTTGAAGAAATATGAAGGTTGTAGTGTTGAGGATAACATACTCCCGTGAAGATCAGATCAAGACAAATTGAATGTAGGTCTTATTTTTGAAAGTTTGTAAACTGTTGGCATGTACTACACGTTTAATTTGAAATGCTCTGATCTATTTTTGTAAACTGATACTTTTGTAACTATGTGAATTATTAAAGTTTTATGGAAGTATGAATAGAAGTTCATCAATTTATTTGAATCGAAAGGTTTTCACATTGTTAATATGAATAAAAGTTTAAATTTGTTCTTATTTGTGAATAATTTATGTATTGAAAAGTCAATGTGACACATCGGGTTCGTATCCGGGTCGGGTACGGGTTATGAGTGTTACAAATTTATTATATATATATATATAGCTATTAATAAATATATAATATTAAATTATAATTAATAAATAAAACTAAGAATATTTTTTTACATTAACAAATACGAATATATAAAATATACAAAAACTTTTCTTTAAATATGTGATTTAACATAATGATTATTGTTGATTAATCCATGATTTTAATCTTAAATTCGAATCCCCTTGTTATCATTTATATTTCATTTTTTTCTTTCATAAACTTGAATAAGTTATATGCAAGATTTTGTTAAAAAAAACAACTAAATGTAGGCTTGTAAACAAACCGAATGTTCAGCGAATCGTTCGGCAGGAAATTCATTCATATTCGTTTATTTATTAAACGAACGAACATGAATAAGATTTTTTGTTCGTTTAATTAAATGAACGAACATGAACAGATGGCTTGTTCGTCCATTTACGTTCGTGAACGTTCGATTATATGTTAGTTTATGTTCGTTCATTTATGTTCGTTCGTTTATGTGCGTTCATTTATGTTTAGCCCAATCTCTCTAGACCCATTTAAAATATTAAATCCCAATAAATTTTAATTTGATACCCATAAATATTTTAAAATTCAATTAATTTTAAATACAAGTAAAAAAGCTCAAAACAATTAAATAAAATATAATAATAAAATTGTTAGTGCATAAAAAATATATTTTCATTTATATTCATTTATGTTCATTTATTGTGTTCGTTTACATTCGTTCATTTGTGTTCGTTTACTTTCGTTTATTGTGTTCATTTATGTTCGTTTTCATCCGTTCGTTTATATTCGTTCATTTGTGTTCGTTTATCATTTAAATGAACGAACATGGACAAACTACATTCCTTAACGAACGAACA